CCTCTGCATGCTCACTTTTCACTGGCTTGTCCTTGAGGTACTGATCCAGGTCACTGTTCAGCAGGGATAGCATCCCTGCCATCTCTTTTGGTTTTGCAGATTGCTCATATGATTGCTGATGTACCTTTTTGTCAATGCAAACCTCCTGGAGTGAAGTCTCAGTTACTGAAGTTGGCATGAGTTCTTTCTCTCTAATTACATCAGCTTGACTAGATGTTTTTATCTCTACTTGGATTTGATCTTCCTCTGATGGTATAATGTACATTCCATCTTCTTTAGTAGAGTACGAATGGATTTCATTGCTCAGTCCTGACATGAGTCCTTCAGAACTGTCTCTCTCACCAGTGCTGGAGTGATATGTTGTAATAGCACTAGTCTCTGAGGATTTATCAATGCCTTTATGTTTGTGACTCTCAAGATACTTGGGACTTATGTCTTCCTCAAAATAAGTATCAGAATCCTGAGCAAAGCTCTCCTCTTCAGGTGTCTCAACTTGATGTCTGACATCTGAAGCTGTTTGCTTGAACTGCTGGTACTTTGGACATTCCTCCAGCTCAGCTTTTATGTCTGCACTAAAGTCCTCAGAAGGTCTGCGATCAGGGCTAATCTGTGAATCATCAGATATACTCTTTCTAATAGCCGGTTCTTCGAGTTGCATTATCCTTCTTGATAACTCTGAATCATCACTCCAAGAGCTAACCCTTCCGTCATCTAACTGAATTCCATAAGGATTTTTTACTGTTTCTCCAAAATAAGAAATATCTAACATTTGTTGTGAACTTTCAGGATTCTGTAGAGGGCCAGTTTGGGCCTCTAAATCCTTCATATCTCTCTGCGGTTGGAAAGTTGTGATATTCTGCATTTGGGTTTGCAATTTTGGCTCATTTCTGGGACTGTGTTCACTCCACTTAATGCCTGACTCTGACTCTAGTGCTCCAACTTTACTCTTCAAAGGGTCTTTCTGAGACTCAAATGTTTTCCTCAGCTCCTTCACAGACATGGCATCTTTATGTAACATCTTTGGCCCCTTATTAAGACACAATTGATCACCCTGAAGTGTATCTACAAATATTAGTGACTTTCCATAAGGAATATCTGAAATTATCTGTGATTCCTTTTTGATTAAGGTTACTGGTTGATCAACCAATTCTGCCTGGTCATATTGCTTGGCATCACTCTGTTGATGTACATTTGTGAGGTTCTGACTTTGGATTTGAGTATTTATCTGTTTTGTAGGACTTAGTTCAGTACTCTGTATCTCTGCAGAATCTCCTGAATGGGATATTAATGTTGAAATAGAGGAAGCCACAGGTTTGTGTTCAAAAAGTTCCACTTTAGTTTTTGAGGGGTCTTTTACAGACTGGAATGTTTTCATCAGCTCCTTAACAGACACATTTTGCTTTTCTGAAAACTCTTGCACATCTTGCTGTGGGCTAACAGCATCATACTGAACTGTGTCAGCAAACGTAACTGTCTTTCTCAACAGGGAAATGTCTGAAATTAACTGTGGTTCCGTTTTGATTAAACTTTGTGATTGATCATCTGTGTCTGTCTTTATGATGCCGTGTACATCAGCGTCACTCTTTGAATGGAAAACCGTGGGTCTCTGAGATTGGCTTTGTGATTCTGGCTCCTGTGTAGGACTTTGTTCAGTTGTCTCTCTCTCTTCAGAATCATTAGAATCTAATATCAGTGTTGAATGAGGTCCCACTTTACTTTTTTGATCTTCTTGCCCAGTCTGGAATGTTTTTATCAGATGTTTCACAGAGATTCCCTCCTTCTCTGACAAGTTTGATACTTCTCGCAATGGGCTAACACTTTCATCATCTCGTTGAACAGTATCACTAAATGTAACCATCTTTTCAATATAAACACTGTCTGAAGTGAACAGGGATTCTTTACAGCTGATTAGGTTTGCTGGTTCATCCTTGATGTCTGTTTGATCACCTTTCTTGACACTACTCTGTTGATGGAAAATCGTGGGCCTTTGAGTTTGGATTTGTGATTTTGGCTCCTGTGTAGGTCTTTGTTCTATATCATGCACTGTTTCCGAACCTGGTGATTCAGAAATCCATGTGGAAATACAAGAAGACTGCAAGGATTGGTGTTCAAAAAGCCCAGATTTACTCTTTGACGGGTCCTCCCCAGTTTGGAAAGCTTTCATAAGGTCCTTCACTGACATAGTTTCCTCTAATCTTTCTGTCTGAGATCTAGGTGACTTAGGAACTCTGGGAAGTTCTGGCATAGCTTCCTCCATTTTCTTTGCGGTAATAGAAGATTTTCCATCGTATGTAAAGACTTTAGTATCTTTTTGCACTTCTTCCTCTTCAACTTTGTTCTGTAAAGCTTTTACCCTGTCCTTTATTGATCCTATAGGTGTCTCAACCACCAAAGGAGAAGTTGGTGGCTCGACAACTTGGGTGGATAAAAGGCTACTCTCTTTAAGAATAGTATCACCATCTAAAGACTCCTCAGAGCTCATCCTTTCCAACTCTCCCTCAGAACTGCTACATCCAGAACGCGATCTGTCTCTAAGTTTTTTCCGAATAGGTTTCTTGATATCTGGGGGGTGTTTTTTGTTTGCATGCTTCTCAATGACCTGTTCAAATCCATCTTGGACAAGATCTTCTTGAGAACCACATGTCCTAGCAGATTTCTGGCCAAGGCATTTTTCTGTCTGTGTGGTAGGGGGGGAGAACAATGTGATGTCTCTAACATCTGTGTAAGATCTACTTAAACTTTGTTTCTCAATGTTCTTTATGACTGGCTCTTCAAGGGTATTGGCCCCATAGAGTGAAAATTTATCTTTGATATCATCAATTTGTTGTCCTCTCAGTTTACTAACATTCGTCCAATCGTTAATTTCACCAGCCTTTTCTACTCTGTCTTTGAACTGTTCTACAGTGGCCACAGATTCTCTTTCTTCCGATTTATTAGTTTCAGCTCTTTCTTCATAGATATCTGGAGTAAAGATAGCAGACATTCTGACATCTTGTGTGTCTGACAGGAGATCTGGGCTCGCAAGGGTTGCAGGGTCAAGAGGTTGATTAGTTCTTAAGGAGAATGTCTCCGTTGATTCAGATTCATCATCTTCAGTGAAAAATATTTCAGAACCAAAAAGGGTACAGAACATAAGGGACAAATGAAGTGGGGGAGAGAGACATCAGAAAATTGTCATCAAGATAATGCCATCAAAAATCCATCTTCAGTTCACAGAGTTAGAAGATGACAAGGCAGAGAATAAGGAAGTCTCAAAAAGAAGACCAAAGAAGACAAAGTAGTTCCCAGACACTTGAAGAGCGGTAGAGCAGCAACAGCATAAGCAAAGCCAAGAGGTGTAACAAAATGAATAGAATGTAAATAAGTACCATAATAATCTAAATTGTTTGACTATGCATTAAAAATGAATTGCAAGATATACCAAAAACAAGATGAAACAGATAAACCTACATATGGAACAAAGGTACAAGAAGGACTGAAAACAGACAAACAAAACTTCTCAAGATTGTTGCTATTATAGTCATGTTTGCCAACAAATAAACATTTTTTTAAATAATAAACTTTGAATTAAAAAAATTATAAGGTATTTGAGTGAGTGAAAATATGAGGTAAGCAAAGTAAGAGAATCACTGTTACTTGACTGTTTTAGTCTCTTTTCAATACCTACTAACTGTAAGCAACGCAATATATATAACTGTTAGTTAGTATAAAATACTGTTATATTTAGCATTTACACTCTATTTGATGTGTTCACTATTATTAAATATTATAGCTTACAAGTTGTTACTGCTAGAATCCTATAGTTTTGTGACATGATAGCATATATAGAAAATAAAAATAGTGAGGTAAAACAGTGTAAACCAAATTTAAAATTTGTGTGAATGAGTGAATGAAAGTAACTTAGTACAAAAAAAAATAATTTAAAGAAATAAAACAACAAAGGAGAAAGCAGTGGCTAAAGAAAATCATAGAACATGAATTATGTAATAATAAATTGGCTAGTAATCAAGCACAAACAACATGATATTGTTTGTTTTTCTGTGAATAACAATTTTTACACGCAACTCGTACAACTGCTGAGGTTTAACATCAGAAAATATTATGTCAAAAAAATACTTGTTACATAATAAATGTTATTATCATAAAACATAATTATCTGTAAGTTAAGATTAATGTCAAGTACAAATATCTAGAGAATCAAACAATTTTGAGAAGATATATATAAAAAATACTATTTTGACCTTTGTATGAAATTAATAAAAACAAATATAGTGGAAAATTGAAATGATAGGAAAGTCAGTGGAGTTTGGAGTGAGGAAAACATAAAGTATAGCAGCCATAGCATTTCCTCCAGTTACAAACATGTAACTGCATACAATGTTAGTAGTAGTAATTAGTAGTTAGTGTATATAACAGGCAAATCTTTTAACTTAATACTTCAAAATATTTATGACCAGCAATCTCAAGTTAATCTTGTGATGGATAAATGCATAACTATCATATAATATACAGGCCCATTACTATTGAAAATAGTTTTTACAATGTCTCAATGCATGAATTTCTATCATGCATTTTAGATACTTGGTCTATTGTGACAATATATATAAGAAAACTAACTTCTAATAGAGCACAAATACTAAAATAACAACTTACATTTCTTGTCACTCTTCTCACTCTGAAAAAAAAAAAGAAGTCAAATCACAGTAAGCTGCAACCTAATTATACCATCTAGGTTTTTTGCTATAGACTGAAATCAAACAAACTTTATTTACCTCATCATCTCCATCTTGGTCTGAATCAGACTCCTAAATAAAAGAATAAAAATGAGGAGAAATCAGCAATGCGGCAGTTTCAAAGTTAAAGTTAAAATCACCTAGCATACATGATAAAATATTTGAAAGCTGACCTTTGAGTATGATGGAAGGGTGATGTTTAGGTTGCAGATTGCATTGAGATTAAGACTACGGTACGTGCGTGGTTCCTTGGTAAAAGACAATCGACCACATGGCTCCTGTGCTGTGTCTCGAATCTGCTCATATTTGGGGAAAAAATATGTCTCTGACTTGCATATATTTAGATTTGTGAATTTCTGAGTAAAAAAGTAAACATTTTATATATTTTAATAGATTTAAAGTCATACTTTAATAAAGAGGGCCAGTCTGTTCTCTTTGAAGGCATAGAAACTGAACACATGGTGCTGCCCACTCTTGGTAAGAGGCACCAGGTTTCCAAAGCAGTCAGCAAATATAGGTTTCCCCTCTAGTACCTGTATCAGGATATGACAAATCTAAATGTTTCCATGGCTCAAAAGAAACAAAAATTCTTGGACAATATTATTCAATTTCTTTCCAGAAATGAAAAAGAACCAATATTAATAAGAATCAGTCAGTAATAACCTGCGTCTGATTTAAAATCTTTAAATACCCACTTAACCATCATTAATTGACATCGACCTACTTTTCTCAATTACTGTCTAACCCTCGTTAGATAAACCTGTGCACACAATTTGATTTGATTTGCCTTATTTATTCCCCAGTATTACACTGCACCTCAACATCTCGGCTGCGGGCGACTTCAGTGAAGTTTTCTTGCTGTTCCAAGGTTTTGTCCATCTTGTCATCTGTCATGCAAAAACACCGTAGGCGAGCCTCAATGGGGTCAAGTGTCTTAGCAAAAATGACAAACTTAGCCATGTATGGGACACAGATGATTTCTCTGTAGACCTGAGTGCCAAAACCAACAGACTCCTGGATCTGTCTGCAGTCTATCAGCCAGAATCTACAAATGAACGACACTTTTAGGTAAGTATCAACAGGTAAAAATTTAAGCATAAACGTTTATAACCTTCAATCGTAAGACTGCAACTGTGCATCGTCATTTACCAACAAATAAAGGATTTACCTTGCTGACACATTCGTGGTGAAGGAAACACATTGGTTAACAAAAGTGAGAGGCGTGGAGCCGGTGATGTCCTCCCATTGTGCAGGAGTGGTACCACCTGAAAGGTAAACCGATGATTTGTTACTCAACCTCTGAAAACAGTTCACGCAATATTTTTTAATCTTCAGACAGCATTTGTCTTTTTAATGGACTTAAGACAAGATACATCCACCACCACGAAGTTCTGATAAATTACGTCCATTAAATCAGGTCATTTCTTTTAATAGCACACAAAGAAAAATATCAAAGATTGACTAAAGAGCTTTATATTAAGATTTTAAACATAGAAATCTTAATAAAATTATGAAAAAAAAACAGCAATTGCACAAGCAACAAATACAACATGAACAATAAATTAGGATGTTCACGGGAGCATTTCAATATGTCATCCAATGAGATGTGCCTGAAAGCCATCCAAGATGTTTTCTTTCTAAAACAAAGGGTTTTATTTATAGATACTTACCTGTAATACTACAAAGCAAACGTAAAGTCGGGGTCTCCCCACTGAATGTGGTGTCACTATTGGAGGTCTTGGGAATTGGGATTGTCATTGTGATGGGTTTGTGGAACTTTCTTCTCCTTGGCTCCAATGTGACAATTGGGCTGAACGTTGCTTTATTACCAAGAATCTTTCTCACCATGTCAACATCAATAGGCTGAGCCTGGGGCAAGATATGTGGTAATATGTATTCATATTTTTTTTCTTCATAGCCATAATTTGGATATTCTGTTGGTATACCAGTCAAAGAATGTACACACCTGAAGCCCAACTCTAATCTTCTTAGTAAGGGCTCCTTCAGGGAATACAGCCTGGACCTGGGGCACGAGAGTACTACTGAGGACCCCGCCCTCTGGACCAATCAAATGACTGTCCTGCTTTATCCTTGACACAACAGCAAAATACTGTGGGAAGTCTCTGGTGATGATGCGACATATTCTTTTCTTTTCAAGTTCCTCAGGGGAATCAAGTTCTGTGAAAGAAAGCATAAAGTCAGTGCTTTGTTTTTTCCCTTTATTATTTACGTACTGTGCTTCACATTATTATACTAGCATTTTAAAATCTATAAGACAACTCTCTCCTGCTCTAGTGTTGCTCGTTTTATGGCATTCATGTATTGTTTTACATAAAATGCTTTGAGATATCAACCTATCGATCACAGTTATACATCACAGGCCACTTCAGATCCCTTACTTTCATCCATGCCATTAAGTATCTGGTTCAGTTCCTCTTCAGTGAAGTCACAGTGGTGTTCCTTCCAGCTCTCTCCTGTTTCACTCCTTAAGATCACTAGCTCCCGCTCTGTTCCCCGCAGAGCAGCAAAATGGGGGATCTCTACAATCACAGGCCTAAAAGGTGTAACAAGGTAAAAGCAAATACAAATTGGACTAATGCTAATTAATGCTTTTCAGCGCTAACTCCAGAGAAAAATCAATGATAGCATAGTGTTTAGGTTGACATGTGAATGAATTTACGAAGAAAGAAAACAATAAAAACTCAGTTAAAATTAATTTCAAAACACAAACTATGAACATAAAAACAAATAAACATCTATTTCACATCAGGACCAGAATCCAACTAGAAACATGATTGGGGAGATAGGTGCTTGTGGGAAGCATGAAGAAAACTCAACAGGTTAAGGTAACAGGTCAGGTGGTAAAGCTGTGCTTCTCTTCAAAGAAAGAAAAGAAGCACCACAAAAAAAAATTATAATAATTAATATATATATATCATGAAAAACTAAAAAAAAATTCAAATTTTAGGACAAGGGAAAAACACGGGTGGGCGTGTAACCAGGATTTGAGGGTGGTTGGGTATCACCCTCACATGGTCCTACCCGAGGAACTTGGTTCCTGGAGGACCCAGCTGCAGAATGCGACTGACCAAGCTCTCACCCTCATTCAGAGGGGGTGGAGCTGTAGGTAGGTGGAGCTTACTGATCCATACGCAGCACAGAGGGGGAGTGAAGAAGAAAGTATGAACACACCACACAACTACTGAAACACACTTATACCAGATAGTACAAAGCCACCAGCAAGTACACAAACTGTTAGTAGATGCGCGCAGACACACACAAACACACGCACACTCAACCAAATTTACCCCAAGAACTGGGCTCCAGTGGGTCCCACTTCTATAATGCGACCAGCCAGCCCTTCACCCTCTACCATAGGTGGCATAGAGGCCAGACGATGCCTCTTCACCAGCCTGCAAGTCACCCGTGTCGGGGCAGAGCACTTTCTTGGTGGGACAATAATTCGCAAACCATTATGACGGCAACCACGCATAGCTCCACCTCTGGCATCTACCATAAAGCTGACCAGGAAGCTAAAGAAAAGGCACCAGAAATGGATGAATTGGTTTCTAGACATTCAAACAAATAAAGATGCAAAATCTCCATGCTCACAAGGCAACTGAATCAAGTAAAGGTAAAAGAAAAGGCTATTTTTGTAACCTGAGAAGAGACATTAATAACAAATAGGTCTCAATAAATATCACTTTATCCTGGAGAAACACTTTTTCGGTTTTATTCTGCTTTAATTTTTTAACTTGCAAGATTCTGGTCAAGACACAGGTTGTATTATGAACTGATATAAGCCAGCTAGAGCTGCACTAAGGATAAAAAAAAATCTGGTTATTTCAGGTTATTTCAGGTAATGTAAGGGCATTCATTATGAAATAAAGCAGAGAAACAGGATGGAAATGAGAAAATCATTCAAAAGTGACAAAGAAAAAGAAGTAAAGGCACAAAGGAGATAAGAAAATAGACAAAATAAAGACTTCACCTGCTGTTGTCATGGTCTAGGCATGGTGAGGAACGGCTAGAAGCAGAATACAAAAACAACACACACACACACACACACACACACAGAGTCACAAACACAGAGAAGATAAGAGAATGCACATCGAAGCAACAACAAAATAAATAAAAGAGAAAGAGAGAAAAAAGAATGAGTAAAAGTGAGAAAACCTGACCAGACAGATAATTACACAGCAGGAAAAATAAAAGGAGTAGAAAAGACACATGAGAAGGTATGAAAAATACACCAAAAGTACACCAGAAAAAAATAAGGGCATGTAAAAGATGGAATATCTATTTCAGAATATAATGATAACCCTTGAAGTAGTGCATTAGCCAGCACAAGCAGCAGAACAGTCAGTAATTTGTTGCAGGAGGTATATAAGCTGAAGGACAGCTGCAAACAGGAGAAAGATTTACTGAAATAAAGGCTTGCAAAGCACCGAGATGCCATTTTGTGTCTTAAACTTTGGTGACTTTATCAGCAAGTAAACTAAAATAGAACCAGAAAATACACAACAATGGCAGAATAATGCTTTGAGTATAAGTAAATCATTAAAAAAAAATCAATATCAGCTGATCCTTTGACATGCTGCTGCACATACTGTACACAAAGCAAAATGCAAATGAGAAGATCCAGTTAGAAATGCCCACATAGCCTGTTTATCCAAGATGTACACCTTTGTGTATAAAGATGGAGCCTTTAGTCTGAATTCTAATGTCCAAGCTCACTCTGAAATTAAAATGCTACAAGTGTAAAAAAAAATTGATTTTACTTTGAAGTCAATGTGCCTTTAGAGGGCACTGCTACCATAAACAGGTTGGTAGAATTTCCAAAGATGGGCTTAATGTATTTATTTCTATAAGAGACGCCATGCAAAATGAAACTGTACCTGAGTGTAGTGACAATAAAGACAATTCTGCTTTTGGTTGTGGATAATTTACTAAAGAAATTTGGATAAAGTGTGCACCCTAAGCTGATTTAATACAAGTCCACAAAACATTTATGGCATCTTGTGGATTTTACAAATTGTGGGTTTAAAAAAACCCCTCAGTATTTCCAGACATAATGGGAATGTGTATGTTAAGTTTGCAACTGGGTTAAGTCCCAACATTTGGATTTTCTCTGAAAGAAAGGAGTGTGAGTTTTTCTCTGTGTGTGTTTGTGTGTGTTTATACCCAGAATGTAGCAGACTGGAGGACAGCACAACATTATCAAGATGTTCAGCACCCCAGCTCAGACGGAATGAGTCCTTTTCATGCTCTCTAGACAGTGTTGACACCTAAAGAACAACAAGCATCAGCAGGCTGGTTAAACTCACCTCGAGTGTCTAAAGATACTTTATTGAAGGTTAGACTACGGATACTACGCTTACCTGGTGACTTGTAAGCAAATCTTCAATGAGAACTTCTCTTTGATGGAAACTTTGGTGAATGGGAGTGTGTTGGGGCCTGATGAAAAACCAAGGTGAATCTTCTCAGACCTTTTCTGTATATATCTGCATTACTTAGGTATTCCTTATGATGATGAACTTGGCTAACAGCAGATCTGGAAGGTTTGCTGTGAGCAAATTTAGATGTTTGTCAAATACAATATGTGTGTGCTGTTTCTTACCTGTCCAAGTTGTGGCTCATGTAATTGAAGCCATCTAGATAATGTCCTGGCAGAGAGTCATCTCCCAGCTCACGGAGGTCCTCTGCTCTTAGATACTCTCCCCCATCACCTGTCATTGTGTCCTCGCCTGGAAAACAGATACAACAAAAATGCCAAACCTTGTTATGAACAATGAAAAAATTAATAACACTCTCTCTCTCATGTATATATATATGTAATATATATTGCATTGACTATGCAAGTAATATGGGGATCGAAAAGATGAGCTCCACAGACATCTCAGATATTGGCTCTTCTTCAACCCTTCGAGCACTTTTTCAGATCCTACATCACCTACAATACACTTTTTTACAACTTTTGAACAATGAGGTATAATATTTTAATGAAGCTCAGTCATGACTTATTGTGTCTCATGACTGGAGTAGTTTTTTCCTATAAAAAAATTTAGCTTGATATCGATGAGCAGCACACTAAATTCTTGTTTTCTACATTTAAGTAACTTACCCTCTTCATCAGACACATCGAGAATCTCAGTCATGGTCTCTGGAACATTCAGTTTGTGTTTCTCTGTAACCGTCTAATGTAACACCATTCAGAGTCATGGAAAACAGACAACCAAAACAGAGAAAGGTTATAGTTTAAGTTAAAAAAAAATTCCTGGCTCCATTTCCAGAGGCTAAAGCAATCATGAGCTTACAGTTGTGGTTGTGATGACCTCCTCAGTGACGACTTTCAGTGTGTCTACCACAGAAATGTAACCCAAACGTTTCGCAATCGACAGAGCGGTATTTCCATTCTAACAGAGAGAAGGATATACGATAGCATACCAGCAGAACTTTTTCCACAACATATTTCACATGTTAAAAGTAAATGCTTGGACTCTATTGTGTCTTACCACTGTAGTAGTATTGGGCTTGGCCCCATGTTGTAATAAAACATTAATTATGTGTGTATTCCCTTGTTGTGCCGCTTGATGAAGTGGCGTGTAACCATTCTGCAGGGCAAAAGTTTAAAAAGAAGACAACAAAATTTTGTTAAGTCACAGTAGAAACTAAAACGAAAGGGATGCTATATTTGAGTTTTGCTTCATGCTGTGTCTGCAGTTTAAGTTAAATAGAGCTTGCATGCTTCAAATTTAAGATTTAAATATAACCTTGGTTTTGGAGTTGACGCTGGCTCCTTGTTGTAACAGGAAGTTAACCATCTTGGCATTTCCATAATGACAGGCGACAATCAGAGGGGTATATCCAAGCTGTAGCGAGGAGGGAGAGGGTGAGAGATGAACACTGATCTTCTGTAAGCAAGCACTAAACTCAATCTTAATGCTTCCTGAATATATGATGTATATGAAGACTTTGTTATGTTTTTAAAAAGCCTCTGGATGGCAGGTATTTACATGCACGTCCATATGATACACTTAAATATTAACATGTAAACATAAAGCGAATAAACAGAAAGTAAGCAAGACATACTGTCATTCACACAGGAAAATTCTTGTAGATTAGCATACTGTTAGGTTTTCATTACTAGTAACAATTTTCTTTTGTGTATACTTGTTAAATTTGTCATGCACATGCATGTCTGTACTTTGGTTTGCTGGTCCAAGTTGGCATCATGTTTGGCTAGTACTTCTGTTACAGTGACTTTGTCCTCTTGGGCAGCAAGATGCAGAGGAGTTAGTCCAGTCTGTAAAACACAAAGCAATGTCACATTACCATCCTTCACACTTTTTTATTTTATTAATTCCATGAAGCAATTTATTAACATAGTAATAAATTGCTTCATGGAACAAATTAGACAAAACTGTTGTTATAGAGCACTCAGCTTAAGAACTAAAGAGTTTTATACAGCTGTATGTAGAGTGCATGTGTTTCTTGTTTCCACTTCAAATTATTTTAATAAATAAAAATGTCATAAAGATTGTGCTTCTGTGTGACCTTTGTCGCTGTGTTCACATGGGCTCCTTTTCCCAGCAGGAGGCTGGCCATCTCTGCATGTCCTTCCTGAGCTGCCAGATGCAGAGGGCTGACTCCCTGTTTCGTTAAAGCATTGGTCTCTGCTCCATACTGCAGTAGCGCTAAAGCAATGTTTGTCTGGTTCTTTTTGGCTGCAATGTGGAGAGGAGTGTAGCCATTCTAAAACAGAGGAACGAAAGAAGATATACACTGTGATAGAAATACAGTACATGCAAACAAGTGCGAGCTTCTCATGGACCTTTATTTTTCTTTAAAACTCAGCCTAACCTTTGCAGTAGCATGAGGCGATGCACCTTTATCCAGGAGCAGCAGCGCCACCTCTTGGTTGTCATAATGAGCTGCCACATGTAGTGGAGTTAGGCCATTCTGTGAAAAGAAGCATTTGATTTAATGAAACTTTTTGCAAGCCTTTGTGATATTTTTGTGTGTGTGTTTTTGTGTGTGTGTTTTTTTTTTTGTTTCAAGTCAGTTTTATTCCATAATTTGTGTTTCAGAGAAAACAATCAGATGCTCAAAGATTAAGTGTAATGTGTCTCTCTCTGAAATTAAGACAATTACCCTCAGTGCTGGGTTTTGTTTCAGAACCTGCTTCTACAACTTCAGCTCACCTTGCCAGCATCATCAGTAAGAGCTCTGCGCTGAAGGAGAAGTTTTGCTACGTCGAGGCTTCCATATTTTGCTGCTACATGTAATGGAGTGAATCCTTTCTGTAGATGTAAAAGGGATTAATTAAAATTCCACTGATTTAACTTATCACATGTTATTTATCTGTCTACGTGCATTCATCCTCTGTTCACCTTGGTGGCCATTGAGTGTGAAGCTCCAGCCTCCAGGAGCACAGCAGCTGTCTCCACCTGCCCCTCTCTGGCTGAAATGTGGAGAGGAGTGTAGCCATTTGTGGTGGCAGCATCCGGGTAGGCCATGTGCTGTAATAGTAGCTGGACAATGTCTGTTTTTCCCAGACGGGATGCAATGTGCAGGGGAGTCTGGTCCTCCTGTAGTTGAGGGGAAAAGAGGTAGTACATGTTATAGAAGAAAAGGATAAACGGAAATGATGCAGTCATTTAAAAGCAGTAAAATTAGAATGAACGGTGATGTTGTAGGCAGAGCTGGGACAGGTGACATCAGGCATTCAAACCAGTGCTTGAAATATAAAAATTTACTGTAAACAGAAGGAAAGAGTGATTAATGTTTACAGCTGACTCACCCTGGCCATGGCATCCACCAACGCTCCATTTCTCAGCAAACAGCGAACCACTTCCATCTGTCCTGCTCGTGCTGCCATATGGAGAGCTGTCTCACCGCGCTGACAAGCAAAGGCAGAAGATTTTTAAGCTTTAGGACACTGTGCTAAACACAAAAAGTACACCAGAACGGGGTACATTTTTTCACGCGTTTGCACTGAAACAAATGAAATGTGTGTTTACTTTGTGATGTGTATTTCCGACTGCTGATCGCTGACCTGATAAAAGAAATTACTACTTACAATGTTACGAACATCAGGAGAAGCTCCATTCTGCAGTAGAAGTAAAACGATGTTGAGGTGACCCATGAAAGCAGCTACGTGCATGGGAGTCAGACCAGACTGCAATAATGAAAAAAGAGACAGTAACAGTAGCAGTAACAACAAGGAGAAGCATTAAATGCAAATTTAGAACAATGTTAGCAACAAAGTATACTGTGCTAATCCATGAAATCCTGACACACCAAAACAATCTCACCTCAGTAATTGCCTGTATGGAGGCACCGTATTTGACCAGCAGCTCCATCACCTTCACTCTGTTTTTCTTACAAGCAATGTGGAGAGGAGTAAAACCATTCTGGTAGAGACAGTAAGAGAAAAATTAGCAGGAATATGCATGTCTCTATAGTAAAAAGGTAGCATTGGAGTATTTAAATTTTATAACCTTATTTTATATTTCAGGAGTTATTAAACTTTTTGGGTCAACTGACCCCTGATAATCTGATTAACCCTATGCTTACTACTGTTGGGACTCTTATATATCATTAAAACTAACTGTATTCTGACCATTTCCAAACCAAAGAGGCATTTAATTTGAAGGTGAAAAGTCAGAATATACGTGTTCCCAGTCAGAATTTTTTAACTGTATCTGCCCCTCAAGTCAGATTTCCAACTCAGACCATCAATGCTGACTTCACAATCCAAGTTGGCAGTTTGAAATTCCTCAGGAACATTTTATATGAAAGAATATGGAAATATATAAATATATATATAAATAAGCATACTAGTAAATCGCAAGATATTCACGATCCATAGTGTCACTCTTTTTATCTTAATATGTGCATCAGTAAATATCATGATAATTTCTGTTAATACCAATTTTGGTGCTTCTCTTATTGTTTCTTTGAACCCTTACCAGTGCTCTTGCATTGGGATTGGCCTTCTTGTCCAGGAGGAGCTTAGTTACTCTGTAGTGGCCACAGTGAGCTGCGACGTGCAGCGCGGTAAGGTAGTCGAGTGTGACATCATCAACAGGCGCCTTGTGTTGCAGCAATAGTTTTACACACTCTATGTGGTCTCCCTGGGCTGACATGTGCAGTGGAGACAGTCCATTCTATATGGAGGCAAAAAATTTAAAGAATAGCAGCCGAGATAAAAACCAAAGGCATATAAAAAGGAACAATAGTACTCATATTGTATAAATTCTAAATGATATACTAGTGCAAATATGCTAACCTTGGTTCTAGCTAGGATGGGGGCTCCTCTTTCCAGCAAAAGCTCAACTGCAGGATCATGTCCACTCCTGGCTGCACAGTGCAGGGGCGTCAAACCATCCTTCGGAACAATCACATATGCACAAGCAAACGCACACATTAATCCAGTTTAAAGATTTTGAGAAAGAGGACGTGGAAAGTTGTTGATTCCACTTATTTATTGTTCACTATGGTTTTAATAAAATCTGAGTCTTACTCTTGTTTTAGCATCTATCTGAGAACCTCGGTCCAATAACAGGGCCACCATGTTGGTGTTGCCCCTCTTAGAGGCAACATGTAGAGGTGTTATTCCATTCTGACAAGGCAGATACAGAAACAAAGGTACATCAAAAACTACAGCATGTAAAAGTCTTAGCAAAGTAGTTTAGCTACAAACATACAGAAAGAAATGTAACGTTTAATGGGCTAGAGGTAAATGTATTAATAAAGGCTTATTAGAAGTGAACACTACGATGGTAAATAACATGCCCTTCTGTAATGATCAAAATCAAAAACAGCCACACAGCAGGAATTTGGCTGTACCCTGGCTGTGAAGTCAACAGCAGCTCCTCTGTTCAGCAACAGGGTGGAGACATTCACGTTACCATAGTGAGCCGCAATGTGCAGAGGGGTGAAACCACTCTGATAGGAAAGGAGAGAATAGAGAGGGACAGAGTGAAAGGAAAAGAGGTTAGAGAGTGCAGAACAGCTCATCATGAAAAGGAGAAAAGTAAAATGAAAGTGAACAAAAGAAAGTAAGAAAGACTTTTCATTGTTAGATACAGGAATAGACTCTACTGAAGCAGACTCTGCTGAAGTAGTAATATGATGAAAGAGCGTGCTGAAAGAAAAACATTGTGTAAGAAGGAGCATAAAAATGAGCAAATCCCAAAATAGCACATTCAATAGATAATACATGCAAAACTGCTCAAGTTCAGCCATGCTTACTAAAAAAAAACTACAGGTGAATCAACTTGGTTTTTTGGATACATAAATATATTGAAATAAAGGACAAAACATAACTCATAAGCACCAAGCAACACTATGGACGCTCGCAAGTATGTGTTTCTACTTGGGTGGACAAATGAACATTTATATATTAGCTATATATATAAATTTTCATAGTACACAATTGCAGGTCGGTTCACTCCTTACCTTCCCATTCTGATAGACATGGTGCAATTTAATTAAGAAACAAAGTTTACTTAAAGATCAGAGATCAAAGTGTTTCAGAGAAGTAAATCAACATGCACAAGGACACACATGCGCTGAGTTACGTGTAGAAAGATAGGAGTAAAAGAAAAAGCTGATTTTACTTTCAGGTTATCAGTTCAGTATAAAATTCGTAAACATAATACATTTCAATGACCTATCAATTAAAAATAACAACAAAAATCTATAAAATAAATGATCAGTAATTAACTGACATTCTCTGGGGATTATCAATAAAACACATTGTGTTTTACTGTCAGCCATGCAGTGTCTAATACAGCAAACTCTGGCATGCAGGGTATCCCTATGTCACAAAAGTCCTCAATAAGTAAGGACAAGATCAAAACAAAAGAGCTGAAAAAAATGGTCAGAAGTGACAAAATTCAGAATCAAAGGAGGAGGTGATAAGTCTGTATACCTCTGTGGTTCTATTGACCATCATCTGGTTATGATGCATAGAGAGAGAAAAGGGGAATAGGGTGAAGGGCTGTTAGGGGAAACACTCAGTATTTTTTTTTAATTTAAAACACTGAGTATGTTTATAAGTTTGCACAGTTTGAAAATAAAAAATAAGGACCTGTACAATACAGCATTTTCAGAGAGGCCTGGTCTGTCCGTTTTATTATTGTTCTCTAAGGAACCCACAAACAATAAAATGTAACTTGTCCCTGTTGCCCTCCCTCACCTTAGACTGGACATCAGCGTTGTGGTCATTCTGAAGCAGCAGTGCAGCAGACTTTGTGTCGTCTTTGCGGGCAGCAATGTGCAGGGCTGGAAGGCGTACCTTACCCTTAGTGTCATGCTCCAACAACAAGGAGACAACTGAGTTGTGCCCCTGCTGAAGAGCAATAGCAAGTGGAGTAAAGCCATCCTGGAGGAGCACAGGGGAAAAAAAGTTAAATGGTTACAGGCTTCATAGAGAAAAGGAAAGAAAATAGGCAAGATATTACATATTGTTTTTACCTTCAATAATTGTATATATAACAATATGAAAGAAAAACATACCTCTGTTGCAATGCTTTGATTTCCTTCATTTTCCAAGAGGTATCGCACGACCTCCAAGTGATTCTCCTGAGCCGCCATGTAGAGTGGCGTGAAGCCATTCTGAAGAGATATACAGGCAAAAACAAAACCACATCATATACTTGTTGCTTGTGTTGCATGCTGATGCATTTTGTAAAAGTTCTTGTTAATTCTCACCTGTGACTGAGAATTGACATCTGCTCCTCTTGACACCAACAATTTGACTACTTCTTTTTGTCCAGCCAAAGAGGCAATATGGAGGGCAGTGTTTCCTTTCTGCAAAGAGAAAACAGGGTTAAGATCACCAACCTGTCGTCTCTTACCTCCCTCAGTCTTAACCCTGAAAATTCCAGAAAATTCTGATTTTTGAAAATGAATGTTTATTGAAATGTTTGACACATATAAAAAAATATACATACACTTGGTGTTACAGGGCTAAAATCACATTATGCAAACATTTCATTTCTGCTTTAATGTTTAGGATGTAAAAGTTGGGTTTAATTCCAAGAAACGTATTCAAGTCACTCGAAGGACACAAACAGCAGAGTGATAGATTCTGTGTCAGCTGTTCACTGCTGCTAGCTGTTGAGCCTGAGTCATGAGGCAGTCACAGACTCACATAACAAGCAGCTTGCCAAAAAGCGCACTACACATTCACTCTCGCCTTCTCTTACTCCTTCCGACTGAATGGTACAATATCTAAACTTAGCACAAAAAGTAAGGATTTCTTTGTTGTAACAATGCTTCTTGGCAATAAATCTTATACTGTTGGAAAGGGTTGAGCAGCAGAGTTGAGTATACAAAACATATTGGCCATATAATAATAATAATAATTTAACAACAGAGGCACAAAGCACAAGTCATTAGTAGAAGAAGCTGTTTGGGATTGGCAGAGAGGTTTTTCATGGGCGCAACCGACACACTCAACTCTGCTGCTCAACCCACAAATGCAATTTCCTTACCAATGTGGCACCATTTAATGGAAAAAAATTAAACAGGGCTTCCAACATTTACTGCCAAGAAACATTGTTACAACAAACAAGTCATCAGCCAATCAAAAATTCCCTGACTCATTGTGCTAAGTTTATATATGATACAATTATTAATATTTTTATTAATTAGTAAAACTGAATGTCTGAAGAAACAAACAATCAAACTCTCATAATCATCTTAAATCACCCTCATATCCACCCCAATGGCTCCTTAATTCACTAAAGAAGGAATGATTTTTATGGTATTTTACAACTTATTTAATTCCTTTCCATCATCTCCTTCTTTCTCCTTTGGTTAAAATAATTTTCTTATCTTTTTTTCCCTCTTTTAAAAATTTATCTTCATCTTTAAAAAGTTATCTTTGCCAATGCAAGCCAAAGAAAAACCCATTAGATATATAGTGAGCGATTAAAGCAACAATTATATTAACTGAATTATATCAATTAAAGACCCTATAAAGCTAAACCATGTGTGTACCTTGGTGGAAGAGTCAACAGATGCTCCTCTCTGTAGCAGTTCCTCCACCAATTCCTTGTGCCCCTCCTTAGCCGCCAGGTGTAACGCATTGAGACCATTCTAAACAGAAAACAAGAAAAGATTTCAAGAAAACACGTGAAGAAAAAATGAAACTGCGTGGTGCTCAGGGAATCATATTACAACCCCCTGTATCAAAGATAAGGCATACCAACATTACAGGACATAAAGCGATATCTACTGGAAATTGGCTCAATAACAATCTAATGGAATCATGTATACTCCTGCAAAAAAGGAAAACTATAGTACAAGTGTGAATTTTTGTAAAATTGGCAACAATAAAAAATCTTGATTAAGTTTATAGTCACTTATGAAGGTATAATCCAACTTGACATTGCATTATACTGTACATGATTTATGGCATTCATTTCATTCACAGTTGGAGAGACTGACATTTAAGAATGGAAACAGAAGAAAAACTATTTGGGTTAAAAAACTGGCTGATTTTTCACAGTTCAATTCGCTCATAACAAAGGCCTCACCTCAGATTTATCAACAGGAACTATAGCAGCACAAGAGGAGAGCAGACCTCAAATGTTGCACTCCAACAAGCCCTTACAACACAACTGATTTATCCCCACTCGAAAACTCACAGTACCTCTTCTGACGCTGACATTTACACACAGAAACAAACTCTAAACAAAACAAAAACCATTCACCTCGTCCTCCTTTTCTTCCATCCTGTGCTTTGGATCTTTGAAATGTTGCTCTTTTTTTATCTTTCAAAATGCCCGCTCCTTTGGGTAATTTGTGCCTTCATGAATCCTTTGCTCTGTTTTCTTTTGTCTTTGGTGATGGAACTCCAACCAGTCCTCCACCTCCTGCTTCCTCTATACTGGTTTAGAACAAGCTTTCTAGGTTTATATGCTCTGTCCTCTTCCTGCAGGCTAATTCAGATGAATGACAGCGAGGAAATGTGCCTCTAAGCTCTGGATGCTTTTTGGGCAGTGATATAAAAGAGGAGCTGTTGCTAACCCCTCTATCATTGCCTTTTCCCCTCCATAGCACATGTACATCATGCATATACATTCACACACAAATAGAAACACGCCCTCTCTTTCTTTCTCGCGAGTTGCTAAATGCCAAACAGCCAAAGAGGGTGTCATATTTCTGCACAGTCATAGAGGGAACCCAAACACACATCCAAACATAGATAATCACATTTAGAAGCAACTGAAAATGTCAGCCTTTAAAATAAAAAGGGGGGCATTCCTCAAAGGCCAAAGTATATCAGTGACTGTCTGGCTGAGTGATTTATAACATGACTTTAAAAAGAGTGAAAAATGACACATAGTTCGTATCACTATGGTACATCCATAAAACCTAAGAAGGCATAAATGCCTTCAGTTTGTGCAAACGGTTTCTAATGAGCTACGAGTAAAGCGGCACAAATGGCACTAGTCCAGTGTCTGTTATGTGTCTTAATCAAATCTGCAGAGATCCACCGATCGACAGTCTATGACACATTCTCAATCAGTTTCATGTATGTCAGATTATGAGTTGGTCACACTGCATCACGCTAAAATAGTCACACATGCTCTCACAGCACAGTCGCTTAAAGTGTGAAAGCTCCTCACGGTCTAATCAAGTCTAATCAAACACTTAAATCATCATCACGCAGGTCTGCAAGGTCTGCAACTGACTCATCATAGCAAGCACTCACTTTTGATAAGTAAAGACTTTAAATTTTAATATATGTTTTTGCTGATTTTTTTTAATTGTCATTATCACTTCCACAATGATCACACTGCATATCATGTTTGTCCGGTCGCATGGCCAAACCTTCTAATATCATCATCACTTCAGTATATTTTAAATCAGTATGCAATTAGTCCATCTGTGACTTTTTCCACTGAACTGGCAACGAATGAAAAGAGAAAAAAATAGTCTAGGCTATATCAGATGCTCTTTGCTGACATTTGAGAAGCAGAAAGTCCAGCCTCAGTTATACTTCAGTTCTGAAATGATAGACTCACTGACACGGCACAAAATAATCATACTTTCAGCCACATTTCAGCCATTATGTATTTCAGGAGAGACAAGAAAACCCTACAAAACACACACACAGTCACACAAACCGATCTAAATCTCCTTTCCCTCTGAGCTCAGTTGTTCCTAAAAGCTTCATTTAGCTAATGGACATCGTGATCCCTGGCACTTTGTTGCTTCCCCTAGCAGGAGACAAAATGTTGAGCTTCATCCAGCGCAGATTGTCATTCAAGCTGCTTTGACCGCTGACCTTTGTTATAAGCACACATGGTATAAACAACCATGCTTACTTGGTGCCGTTTTATTGTCTCAAATGTCACAGGGGAAAGATGTTGGAGGAAATAATGTAAATGTCATAAATGTCACAGTGGGATAGATTTTGGAGCAAATAATGTAAATGCATGCGGATTAAAGTAAAGAGTAATATTACTCACCAAGGATTAAAATTTTAAGTAGATTAGAAGGGAAATCTGGCCTTTAATTGTGAAGAGCGAAACAGTTCTTATACACACTCCTAACACGCAAATACAAGCACATAGGCATATTGTATTAAAATGCAGAATAAGCTGTAGTGACTCATTCTCTTTTGAAATCCTAAAACTCAAACACACCATGCTTAAAAACTGGAAGAACAAACATCATCTGTAAAAAACATTACAACTTTATTTATACATCTCATTCATAAAATCTGTGCAATGGAGAATCATAGTATGACAGTGGCTTTGGCAAGCTAGGAATATACCCCTCACTCTCTCTTCTACTAACGTGGGCAGCCTTCTGCCCTTGGCGCCAGTTTCTGGCCCTTGCCACTCTCTTCGTGCTTTCTAGGTTTTTACTCTTCAGTTATTAATGAATATAGCACCAAGGGCGATACTCAAAATATGTGCATGACTTAGTGTGTGACATTTGCAGCTTCTTGTGGTGTTTTGTGGATGGATAGACTTTTTAAAGAAACCATGAATAACATTAAACATGATAAAATACTAAGATACAGTTCCTGTATTTGATTGCATTGTGAACGGTAATCGGAAACGCATTAAAACAAGCAAAAGGAAATTGGGTCATTCAACTGCAATGTCACATTATCCGGCTCTTGTCAATAGACTACTAACTCTAATGACTCATTATCGGACATTATTTCAGGTAATGGCTTTGTGATAATGATGCTTTTCCGTGATTCGTTCAAGTCTTTGGAGAAAATTTGCATTTATGCACAGAATTATTGTGATTTTTTTTTTTTTTTTTTATCTTACTGCAGTAATCAAAAGCATTAATCCTGGGCTCATGCCATCACTTCCAGTACGGTCATGTCACTGCCTGTTGTGCTTCGACTTAACAAAATCATTCTAGAGACATCACTCATCAGCTGTCATACACATTCAGCAGAAATTAAGACCAGTGATGTGTGCTTTAACTTAACCATACTGTCAATGTCTTTCCTCTTAAAATTTGTGAGTAAAAAGGTAAAGACACAACAGACTTCCCTGCCTGTAACACAGCATATATCTGTAGGTGGAAAAAGTGTAGAAATGATCTGTGAATCTGTGAATGTATGATTATGTATTTAAGCACGTGCAATCAGAATTAGAGACAAATACACACGTGGGAAGATGCACACATTATTTTATATTATTTTACATTTGGCTATTGAAAACACTAAGAGAAAAAAAGTAATGCATTTATGTGCATGTTATAACTTTAATTTGGTTTACTTACACATCACTGGAATAAAATAAAGTCTATAGCTTATGTTCATATGTGCTGGGAGATATTTAACGTGCTTAGGTCCAAAATTACATTCACTGCACATTATACTGGCCTCTACACACACAATAATGAGGGAATAACTGGGATATGTATAAAAATGTCCCTTACATTTTTTGGTCACTTGACAAGGTCTCAAATTTGATCATCTGACCACCGAGAAATCCTATTAGGGCAAGGCTCTCCTGTTGCAGGACAGGAGGTGTGTGTGCCTATGTACATGTCTGTGTGTATGTGTATGTGAAGATTAGTGTGTGCACAGCTTTCTATATTCAGGCTTCCCTCTCGGGGCACAAAACAGAGCCCATGGTACCCATGATAACAAACAGCAGAGCTACGGGTTGGCTTTTTATAGCTGCAAACCAGCTATAACAGTCAAGCAATGACACAGTAAAAAATAACGATATGCACACACACACACAACACATACGCTCACGTAGCCTCACTCCTTTAGGCTGTCTTGTGACTTCTGTAAATCACATTGACGTAGACAGGAGAGAGGAGTAGGGGGAAATATTTTAACCTCTCCAATCCCTCCCCTTCGGCGGAATGTGGGACAGGGCGAGTATGGGGAGGGGACGAGAACAGCTGTCACGGAGACAGACCTTTTCAAAAGCTGCTGAGATTGGGGGGAAGAATGGGTGGGAGTAATTGTAGCTATGAGGGTAGCTGTGAGTATGTAAAGGGATATGGTTAAGGTACTCGCTGTGTGATGCCATCATGACACGGCAGGGCGAAGGTTAGCTTGAGCAGGTTTGACAGTAGCTTGCATTGAAGCACTAAACAGCAGATTTGAGATATTATTTCACACAACTGCTATATCAGTTCTGGAAAGTTGTAATAAATATTTAGATTTAAAAAAAAACTAAAAACTTAAAAAGTATTATTTCAAATTAAAAACACAAAGATGGAGTTTTGAAAAATATAACTCCATAAAACCTGAAAATTTGTCACAGTTTTTATTTTTATCGCCTCTCTTCAAATTAATGTAACTGCATACAAGAATTCAAACAAAATCCGATGTTGTTTAAGTTTTCTTACCTGGTTACATGTGCTGATGTCAACCCCGTTCTTCAGGAATTCAAGGACTTTGTCAATGTTTCCAGCTCTGGCAGCCCGGAGGAAACTGGTGTTACTGTCCGACTACAGAGATAAAACAGAAATTAGGGTAATATTAATAACAGGTAAATAAGCAAATGTTTCTAATTTATTTTGTTACTGTGTCATTCTGATAAAAGTGCCACATATATGCAATATTATAGTAACAACATTAAAGGCCACATTCCATTTATCAGACAAAACAGTATTTTTCTCACACACACACACACACACACACACACACACACACACACACACACACACACACACACACACACACACACACACACGATGGGTTTGTTCCTTAAAGCTCTTTTAATGTGAAAACATAAAATAAAGGGTCAATCATGTGTTTTTATATGGCTACATAGCTGCTTGTACAGTATCAGTGGCCTACTAGGCTACTCTAAATGTAACCATCACAAAGCAGCTGCGCACGCGTGCACACACACACATGCACACACACATGCACACACAGAGTCACGTTTCCACATTGCCAGAGGACATTATGTTTACTTACATTCATTTCATGGAGATTCTAACCTTGATCCCTACATCAGGTTGTCATACTAAATTTGCATTTTGATGTCGTGTTTTTTTTTTTGTTCAGGCTTAAGTTTATTTCTGTTTTATTTAGCCATTCCTGGTGTCTTTTTTTAGTTTTACTTGTGTCTTTACTATTTTTTCCTCCATTTTTGTCTGTCCTGCACTGATAAATATCACCTGCTTTAAACTGCCGCACTTGTTCCCAATCTGTTACTGTTTGATCTCAAGCCTTCCAGCATTTCTTGTTCTCCTGGTGTAAGACTTGTTTTCATTTTATTCAAAATGTGTTCATTTTTTGTTAGAATTGTTCGTTACTGCCTGATCAACAGTTAATGACAGACTGTCTTTATGTGCATGTACACAGCAAATTTAAGTTTTAAATGTAAATTGGGTTTTCCTCTTGCTCTTTAAAAAAAATGTTAGATGAATAGCACTCTTTACTGAGTTGGATTAAATATAAATCTTACCAAATAGTGTTATATTTTTAAGGCAGTATCAGAATTAAAAGAAAAATCTTATATTAATAAAACATCTAACATTTGTTTACTGCAGACAATCATAATCACTGCAGCTTAATGAACAGAAATTTAACAACCAATTTTAACAGCAAACAAAAAAACAAAACAAAGTCAAAGGAAGTGATGACTTTCTGACGATGGCCTGTCATTACCTCTGTAATGATTTTGGCCCAAAATAGAATTTTTCATTGCATGACATCTGATATTTGAATAATCAAAATATACCGATGTATCGCTTTATTTGCTGAATGTCACAGTATGTGAACATTAGTAGTGTCTTCATTATCTTGAGTGTCAACAAGTTTCTAACCTCTTTTTAGCAAGGTTAAAGTGTTAAAGTGTCAGTCAATCACCACTGGGCGTTAACTTGTAAGGTCATCAAACTTCGCAATACATGTCAACAATCATACCACACCCCCTATGTGGATTACCCTTCACGTGCAATGTCGCACAATCCCAAGCAAACCATCAGACATTAACATGTTTGTTTCTTCTTCTTTTTTTGCCTGTCCCGTTTGGTTCTTTTGCCATCAGAATTGTTGTCTAAAGGCAAAGAGAGATGCCCAATGGATTTACTTAACCAAATAGACCATCCCAGCCTTGCTGTATTGGTCTATTTGATTCACCTTTGCTTTTATTGTTTATTTTATTTTCATTTGCTGAACACGGGACAAACAAACATGTTTGTTTCTGACAAAAAAGGACATTAGCAGAAAAAGAAATTATAACAACCTAAGTCTGCTTTTTACATCTCTTACCAGTAAATCATCAACATTAGATCCAGTGTCAGCAGCCTTGTAGTAATCAGTATGTTGATTTGAGGCACAGTCAATCCCAACGGTCTTTGAAGCTTTATCTGATCCACATATCTTACATGTTGCTGCATTTCCCATGGTTACCATTCAGACAGGAAAAGAATTCACAGCTTTACCTGAATATTGTCGCCTTTCTTTACTCTCTTTGGCCACTTTGTCAAATTCTTGCAGTTTCTCACTTTGCATCTCTCAGTACACTCCTGATTACTGGCATCCTTTAATCCTACAGTCCAATAAATTTGTACATATCTTTGGTTCAAACATATTTAATAAATTACCAAATCTTGCTTCCTTTTCTAATTAATTCTGCTACATTTCCTTGTTGTTCCCTTTTATCACAGTGCAAGCTGAGGATCAGCCTCTAGCTCTGACTTAATGTACGATGTACTGTGGTCAAGGCCCAGTCCTGCCTACTCTTCCGCTGCCTCTCCTCTCTCGCAGTAAGATAACAACTGCAGCCATAAACATTTAACCCTTACTGTTTCTCCTGTCTTAGCTATTTTTACCATTCTAGACCTTCAGTTCCACAGACACAACCCACTGATGGGTGTGTGTGTGTTCATGGTAGGGTGCATAACAGCTGGGTTTCACTCAGAATGTAGACCACATGGCCTAAGGTGCTCTCAGGAACACCAAGGGTCAGGATTCTGAGACAAAATTAAAAAATAAACACAGCAATAAAAAGATTTAAATAAGAAATGCACTAATTGAGATTTCTTTGGCCAATTCCATGTTTTTTTGCAAGTCTGACATGGTAATACAGATTTTTGATGATTCTGATTCTCTTCTTTCTAAGAACTATAACTGTTCTTCAAAGCAAAATTAGCTGAAGCATAAATAGTTAACTGAAATGTCTGATATATTTTTCCTTACCAAATAAAAGCAACAGATTTATATAACGACAACAAAAAAACTTTCATCTTTTTTCAGCATGTTTATAACAGGCTTTCAGCCCTTCCTTCATTTTTACTCATCTCTATAATTGTCTACATAACTCCTTCGATCCTTTGCTCATACCGAGGCTGCTGGCTTGGATTGGCTCTGAGCTCTGGACAGCTTTAGCTTTAGTCCCTTTGCCTTGGTTACTTTCTTATAAATGTTCATGGTGGTGATTTAAGTGTTTGATTAGGTTTGCTGTTACAAAGGTTTTTCATGGTAGTGAACAGTGAGACTTTACCTCCAAAAGTTGACAGTACTGTTTATCCCCAACCTTATAAACAGTACTGTTTATAAGCTTGGGGAAACCTGCAGTCAGCTGAGACTGAAGAAGTCACTTGGATGAGTGACGAAACGTCCAGATGAACAGAATCAACTTTTGGAGATTTACTTACCTGGATGATTGAGAATGCATCAAGAAGTGAGTCTTTACAACACTAATGACATGTTAGTGTGTGGCTGTGAGTGTGTATGCAACTGTTTGGCTGTGCTGCTGTACATGTGTTGCTCATGCATAACGGGACATATGGGAGGCTGACCGAAACCACTGAAAAATGGACCAAGTCAGATCCGGTTAGTACAAGCAATCTAATTTCAACCTTACATAGAATTTTTCACTACACAGAACTCGTTTTGTGTGTGTGTGTATTCTTCAGTTTCCACTTTTTGAGTTTTTACTCGTCTGCCTGCCTGATTCAGCTGTTTGCCAAACTCCACATGCAGAGATTGGATTGATTGAGATCCAGCTGTAATCTCTGTATCCGTACAGGATTTGCACAGATTCGCCTGGAGTCAGTCATGTAATGAAGGACAACACAAGTATGCTTACACTGGATGAAAATCAAAACTCTACTTATTATCACGAATGTCTCATTAACAGCTGCTTTGTGTACACGAGGTCACTTATGAACATATGTGCACTAGTATTGCTAGGGGCTTTAGCTTTAGTCCCTTTGCCTTGGTTACTTTCTTATAAATGTTCATGGTGGTGATTTAAGTGTTTGATTAGGTTAACCTCATGGTTAACCTTGTTTTAACCATGAAGGTTAAAACAAAAACGGTGAAAATCTTTTTAAAAAATTATACTATTTATGGTAGACAGTGGTACAGTACTATTTCTTTGACTTTATCCGTTACCTAGTGCGATTTCAACCACCTCCACATCTGTGCAAATCCCACAGCCCCTTTTCATGTTGTCCTACAGTAACACCAAAGCGTACGATAAGGCCACCACAGAATGTGGTAATGAAATTGTCATGATACACACCACGTGTGACAGATTTTACCTGACGCTTTCGTTCAGCTCTTTCCCGCTGCCGTCTCCTCTTCTCCCTGGCTTTCTGCAAAGCTCTGTAGTCTGGGTGTTGCTCAAGCTCGCGAGCTTTCTTAAGATGGGCTGCAGCGTGGGCCATGACTTCACCCTTCTACTTTTCTGCGTGTTTTCCTTGGTGCTAAAGTTTATAAATTCTGCCTAAAGCAAACTAAACACCTTCACTTTTTATATTTGTCAAAAAAAATGCCATACTATATAAATTATAAAAAGTTATTAGGCCTTGTTTTGCATCAGCATTATGCTAATACTAAAAGAAAAAACAGAGAAATATTGACTAATTACTCCGAAATGACTGAAAAAAAGACTTTAAAGAAGCGTTAACCCAAATTCAGTGAAAAATAAAATATTTTTAAAAAACTGTTGCATATTCCTCTTTTTCCTTTCTTCAGTTTTCTTTTCTTCCACCTTGTACAGCAGTTAGATTTCAGTCCTCACACAAAAACACAGGCATACACACACCTACAGGTGCTCAAAAAAATGAATCCCTCCCCTCGTATGGTCCTATCAAACACGAACAAGAGGGATGATGACTGATAAGGGCTGATGAAAAATGAACATAAGAACCACTCACACTCTCATCCTCATCACATATTTCAACACACAAACAGGGAATTACCCATCCCAGATGTACATGAAAACCCTCCATGTGAACAGATGTGGCTACAAAAGGCTCTGAGTGTGTACGAGCGTGTCCTTGCATGAGTGTTAATGTGCATGTGAGCCAGAGTCACAGGAAATTTTTCATTGTGTAAGGGGTTTAAGGAGGCTGTGTGCTAACAGCCAGCTGACTGCTGCAGACACAGCTACTTCCTCTGCTGCTGTGAAAATGCTCTCCATCCTTAGCAAATGAGGTAAATGTGTAGTGAAGATTTAATAGGTCAGAAAGGACCATGAGAT